AACATGACAGAAATTTCCTTGGTCCTCATTCCCTATTATTCCTGTGCACACTCCTATTATTCCTGTGTCCCTCGAGGGAATTGGCCAAGACTTCTGGGAGTTGGACACTCCCAGCTCCACACAATATTGATATTTTGATATACTAGTTCATTTCCTCTCCAGTCGTGTCAGTGTCAGTGGGGTCAAAATAAAGCATAATGACAATGATCGCTGTTGATCTTGAAGTAAACAGCAATGGAACTGCCTCTTCTGTTCGCGTGGAGTAGGGCTGGGAACTGGTCTTGCCACAGAGCAAGCATTTGTGAAGAAGATTCCAGAGGAGATGTTCCTTTTATAGTGACAGGAAGTTATGTCACCAGGTGTCCCTGGGGAGGGAAAATAAAGGAGAAAAGAAATAACTGAGGCTTCAAGAAATAACTGAAACAAAACTGAGGGAAAGTGCCTCCTAACTCCCACATTGGGGTTCTTTTTATGGCAAGTTCATAACCCAAAAGTCTATGAGATGGTGTCCCTAGCTTTGGTCATTTGCTTGTGTTTGCACAGGGCAGAAAATCATTTAAGGGGTAACACTTCCTAATCCCTGTATGTAAATGATGACCATGCTTCATTCTACTCATCACTTTTGATTTTCCTAAGGCAGGATGTGGAACAACTCAGCATTTCCGTGTTTCTTAGGGAAACGTAATCCCTTTTTCCATCCTACTTCCTCTGTCAATCAACAGAAGTAGTCTAGTCCTTTTCCTTTGAAGACTTACAATTAGGGACAGAATGGAATGGGTGAGGAACCCAAGGCCACACAAACTTAAAAGCTTTCCATTTAATGTTAGAGAAGGCAGGGAACAACCTTGGAAGACCAGTCCAAAGTTCTCCTTTACAGCTTGGTTCAAGTCATATCTCAAAGGAAGCCTTTTCTATGTCTATTCCTTACTGCCATCCTCACCATAGGCTAGCCTGAATTGTGATATGGGTGACATTAGCTCCCCTGAAAGTATAACCCTTTAGAAGGAAAGTTAAGTCCTTCAGCTTTGTTACATTTACAGTGCCTGTCACAATGGAGGAGTTTGGTAAATGTTAAATGAATCACATGGATTTTAGAATAACTGTCAGTAATGGTATGTTTTTCTGTCTTCTCGGTCTGGAATGTCTACATTTGGCTTTCATATCTTTCTGCTCTCAGAGAAGGGCTGTGATGCTGCGGTTATAGATGTATAACATCTTTTTTTTGAATAATATCCCTTAAAGTAGGAATCAAAAGCATGTCATTGGAATGACTGAGGAGTTGTCATTTGCCTTGACAAGCAAAATATTCCTATTAGAAAAGTTCGGATGCTTTGGCCCAGGATAGCATTTTGGGCTTCGATGAGTTTAGTTAAATGTTTCAATTTTTGGTTGCTGTTCCAAGCTTTGCAAAGGCCAGTTACCCCATCATCCCACTAACACTATTTATATGTTCCACATATCCTTAGAGGTCCCCAGTGCTTTCAACTTGAGTGATAGTAATACACAGAGCACTTATACTGAGCTCTCTCTTTATACATACCTCCTGAAAACCTATTCTGGCATGTGTCTGGCAGCCATGAGTGGCCCCCTAGCAGGCAGAACATTTTTTGAAGATTATTGTACTCACCTGGATGATTAGTCTATCAGTGCCCTTTGTCCCAACGCCACTGGGACCCTCTCCAGTTTCTCGGAAAGGTAAACATGCCTCCAAACATACATATCCTGCTGTTTAAGCACCCAAGTCCCTGTTTTAAGTCAACTTTCCACAGATATCAAAAGCTATACGTTCCATGAGGCAGATGACAAGCTCATCACGCTGAGTTTGGAGGCACAGGAAGGTCCATTCTCCTCTGGTTCTGGCCTTGAGGTGGGCAACTCTGTGTAGTTGATGCTTCCCATCCCTTCTCCTCAGAGTTTGTGCTTCATAAAGTTTTAGCCCAGAGCGATCCCCCTCCCCACCATGCTAAATTCACAGGGACATGAACTTTCTGCTGCCGGGAAGCTGTAAGTGATGAGACCAGGCTGTCTTCACCTGTACCCTATCCACCAGGAAGAGGGAAGCCCAAAGGTCAGAGAGGGGGAGGAAAGGTCAGGATGAGAAGGCTGGCTTTATAAGGGGGGGTGATAACTGAGCACAGTTTGATTCTTCCTGCCCCATCCTGCCACAGTCTTTTTCTTGGTGGCACAGCTCCACTAAAAACTCCCAGAGCGAGAACGAAAGACGAGGGTCTCTTTTACCTCCAGAATCTGTTCCTCAACTGGTTTGAATTCCAAGGTGCACACCCTGTAGTGGCACATCCAGCCTCTCTGGAAGTTAGATAAACCTTCCTTTCATGTGCTTCCCTTTATTGCACCCCAAGTCCACCAAGCACTAAGGGAGCGCTCCCTTTAGACACATGGGCAGCAAACCTAGCTCACGTCCCTAGCACAGAAGTGATTTCTTAGGATAGGTATCACCCTGTTGGCCTGTCACTTTGGGGCTACTTTGTTTAAACAAAAGTTCTGATCTGCCCTTGCAATTGTGCCTTCATATTCTGAATGCTCAGGAAAAGTAGGGTGTGGTAGCATATGCCTGTAATCCCAGCACTCAGGAGGCTGAGGCAGGAGGGTTGCTGTTAGTTTCAGACCAGCCTAACTACAAAGTGAGTTCAGTGCCAGCCTGAACTGCACAGTGAAACTCTGTCTAAAAAACAAACAAAAAACAAAACAATGAAACCCAAGAAATCAAAAACCAAAAACCAGCATATGAAAAGCAGCTGCTTGATTTTGCTGGTGATTGCATAGTGTGACACAACCAAGAACATGATAGATTTTACTTTTTCTCTATAAAATATCTTTTAGTCCTTGTAATAATGCTAAGGCTCTTTATTGAGGAATAAACCTCTATTAGGTTAATTTCATTCCCAGAACTCTGTTAGTAATTTTTTTCTAGTTAATAAAGCTCTGTTTTTATTTCATTTTGATATGGGGAATAGAACTCAGGATATTGTGCTTGCCAGGCAGGTGCTTATGCCACTGAGTTATAACCTTAGCCCAAAGCTCTGTTTTCAAATGAAAAAGTTAAATTACTTTTTTAAAGTCCAGAGGCATATTTTCTATAGCTTCCTTATTCTTTCCAATATGCAAAACAAGCACAACAAAGTCTGTCTGTAGTCTGTCATGGTCTGTCTGTGGCACGAGGGGAGACATCTAACAGGACAGTAACGACTCCGGGGACCTGAGGGTCGCTGGAGGAGCAGAAGTCCTTCGGAGGCTGTGCTGCACAGGGAGGGTCTGCATGCACGTGTGCCTGGCAGGGCGGATGGCTTCTAGGTGCACACAGCTATGGGGAGAAGTGCTGCTGCTGCTGCTGAGGTTTTTCGTCTGAACACCTGGGGAACAAAGTGAGCTGTGAGGGGGTGCAGATGGGTGAGAAGACGGGACTTGATGGTGGCGGCTGTAACCCAGCCTGGCTCCAGAACTAAATCTAAATCTGACTGGATTCCTGGAACGGGCCATTTTCAAAAGCAGGGGACCGCTGTGCCCAGTGTGGCATGTAGTGAGGGAGGGAAAAGGCTCCAGACCAGATACTCAGCCTGGCCAGCCAGAGTTTTACCCAGGTACAGCGCAGGAGTTCAGTTGGGGATTCATATGTAAACCAACTAACACAACATGCTTTATCTAATGATTTATCTCTTTCCTTGACAATGTACCTTTATGATGACATAAAAGGGCCTTAATAGGTGTTAGAATTCCAGAATTCTAGGGTGTCTCTAAGTTCTGCCCAAATAGTGTGGGAAGAGTTATTCTCCTTCCCTTCCCCCCTTTGGTGCTATTTTAGAACTACACAAGATTATAAAACAGCCAACCATGTACCCCCTATTTAGCTTAATAAGTGTTACACCACAAATAAGATTTGGAACCCACTAGAATCTTCCCCAATAGAATTCTCCTTTCTCACCCTGTGTTTATCTTTCCAACATTCATGTTTCTGTATGCTACAATTGTATGTAGCTCTCACACACATGCCTTTTAGTCTTTATATGTATATACAATGTATAGTGGCCTTTTGGATGTTTACCTAGATTTCATATATATGATATATTTATATCCTTCTCCACTAGGTTTTTACCTTATGAATTTTTCTTTTGCCAACACTCCATCTTTGTCCAGTGTCTCTTCTTCAGCCCAGCCCTTATCATCCCATTCAATTTGTCTACAACAGTTCCGAGCTGGTGAATTAAGGCTAGTCCTATGTCAAATGAGTCTCAGCCGCTTCCCCTATTGCTCTAAATTAGCAGCTCTAAAACAGTGGGCACCAGAATCCCTTGGAGGCCTGTTTACAAAACTGCTGGCTCCACCGAGTTGCTGATTCACTAGGTGTTGAGTAGAGCCTAAGAATTTCTGAGTAATGTGATGATGCTGTTTTGGGGACTAAACTTTGAGAATCATTGCTCTAAGTCAAAGTATAGGCCGGGGCTCAGCAGCATCATATAGGCAGCAGGCATCTTTTAAATTTCCTTCAAAGCTGCATTAGAGCAGTTGTGTTCAATAGACATTTAGTGCAATACACATGTGGAATTGTGTATGTGATAGTAGTCATGTTAAACAATAAAAAGACACTGGTACAATTTTAGTACCAGTTTTTTTTAAACTCAGTGTATTATTACATTAACATGTATTCAGTAAAAAATATTAATAAGATATGATGTTTTCACAGAGCACATCTCAAATCGGACTACCCACATTTCAGAGTTTCACCAGGCATGCTCAGCTAGTGACTAACATAGCTCTCTAAACACAGCTGTAAAGGCTGGCCCCCACGTCTGTCTTTACAAAAATTGTTTTTAAACATTACATTTTAGTTTGTACTACCCATAATAATTTAAAGCATTATTCATTACTCAATGAATGTAAAGTGGTCAAAACCAAGAGGTAAAAGAGAGAAAAATCTACACATAACTGTTCATTCACATAAGCTTTTTTTGGATGCTTTATTAAACATTGTTTAAGATCTGCAATAATTTTGGAGTTATTAACTTGGCATGTTATTTAGCTAACTTTTGGGTTATACATTTTGAAGTATCAGCATGAATTTTATCATGGGCTTCTAGAAAGTCTAAAAGAGTGAACAGCAGATTCTTCTTTTTCCATCTTCTTTTTATTCTTCTTCACTGCAGAATGAGAGAAAAGGAACAATTATAACAGCATTAATCACCACAAATGCCTTTCTAAATGTAAGAAAGTATTTAGCCCTGTATATATTTTCTGTATTTGTGTGCATATTTCAACAAATAGAGAATATGTTTTCCTTTGATAACTTGGATAGTTAAATATCTGGGTGCTTGTGTAACCAATGCCTTCAGTTGTCTGATCATGCCAACCTTGTCTCTTTCTTATGTGACACCAGGAAGGCTTGGATTTGTTTGTGTGTGTGTGTGTGTGTGTATGTGTGCATGCACGCACGCCTGTTGTTATTTTATTGGAGAGGACATTCTGGCATTTAATCTCTCTAGCTTTAAAAGCCTGTTATGGTTGCACAGATAATATTCATTTCCCCTCCCAGATCCCTGGTTTCCATATCTACCATATGAGAAAAAGGTGGTTATGAAATACCTAATTGTGAAAATGCAAAGAGAAAAAAAGAAAAATATTTTGGTCATTAAAATCTATTCAAAGACAAGATATACCTTGAAAGTTTACCAGTTCAGTGATAGACAACCATACTGTGACTTTCTTTTCTTTCTTTTTTGACTGACATTAAATATAAAAGTCTATCGCTTCTCAGCCTTATGACTAAGATCATGTGAAATATAAAAGTCTATGACTGAACAAATATTTAGGTATTAACTATTAAATGTGGTCCTATTTGAAATTCCTGTTTTTGCTGATGGCAAAATAATAAAGGCCCAACTAGCGCCTGGCCCAGGCACTGCTGCTCATGGTAGTTTTCTAAATACATATTGGTCTCAGATACTAGAATTTATACCTGGGGGTTTCAACAGTTGCCGTCTGCTCCGCCTCGGTTTTTTTCAGGGCCTTCTTCATCTCCTGTTGCATTTTCAGTTTTTTCTTCTTTTGCAGTCTCTTCCTCATACACAAAATCTTTACCCCAGTTGTCAAACTGATACTGAGTAATTGCTTTAATGAAATATAATAGAATTTTGGATCAGTCACACATGGAAAAATAGCCCAATTTATAAGTGATAGCAGAAGCAGGACAATTGAAGTAAGGAAGCAAAGAACAGCGTTCCAGTGGAGGAAAGCCCGACCCACTACTTCCCCGCCCACGGCCAGCACGGAGCAGGACTGCTCTGCCTAAGCTAAGGCCGCTGCCATCTCCGGCCTCGGGCTACCAGCCTCCTCAAGGAGGTCTTCCCTCCCACCTGCTGTCCTCTCCCACCGCGTCCCCTAGCTGGTTACTCACATCTGGCATCTGAGATCTGTACTATGAACTCCTCTACCTGCTCCTCTGCTTCTTCCTTTTTCTGCTCTACCGCTGCTGCCTGGTTCCCTGATGCCTCCACAGATTGCCATGTTGCTGCACTGTCACCTGTTGGCTGCTGGAACTCCACGGCCGAGGCATAAGCCTGCGGCAGGCTTGGACTCAGGCTCAGGGTCAGGCCCAGGCCTGCACCCATGCCCATATCTATGCCTTTGCCCTTGCCCTAGCCTTGGAAGGGGGCTGCCACTCTGGGCCACGGAGGCAAGTGCAACACTAGCAGCACGCAAGGGGCGGGGGCACGGCCTGAGGCTGGGAGGCCGAGGGAGGGGTTGCAACGTTTGGAAGTCGCAGTAGGGGCGGGTCAGGAGGTGGTCGTGGTTATGTGTGGTGATGTGTGGTGATGTGTGCGCTGCAGCCGCTCCACGAGCTGACCAGCTCCACGAACGTGATTCGGCAGTTTACTGTGTTAACGGCCCTGAGGGGCATCCACTTGGACGTGATTCGGCATCGGGTCCCCACCCCCTCCTCCGCGAGTTCGATATCCGAGTCATCTTTGGCATACTCCTCCATTTTGGGGTCCCTGCCCTCCGAGAATCGTGCCCGCTCACCTTCCTCTTCCTCTGGGCCTGCCTCCGTCTCCGTCTCCACCTCAGGCCCTGTGCACAACCTCCATTGCTCCCCTGGGCCCCAACTCAGAGCATCACCACCTGATCCCCCCGCGGCAGAGGTGACCCCGTCCCCTCACCCGCCAGCCCCACTCTACGTCGTGCTCACCCACAGATCCAGGTCCTGCTGGCTCGACGGTTCATCCTCCAAGATGTACACAATCTCAGGTATCGAGTCACAGGGGCTTACGATCCGCCCACCGCGCCAACGACGGTAAAAATGGCGGCCACGACCGAAGCCACGGCCACGACCGCGACCGCGTCCGCGACCACGACCGCGACCGCGTCCGCGACCGCGACCGCGACCGCGACCGCGACCACGACCGCGACCACGACTACGGCCTCGCCCTCGCCAGCGGCCTCTGCTTTGGCCTCGGCTGCGCGCCGGCGAATATTGGCGGAAAGCCATTAATCGGGAGCGCTCGACCTGTTTGACGGGAGGCGGTTGGTGGCGGACCCGAGGGCTAGAGGGGAGGGGAAGGGTCGAGGTAGAGCCCATTACTGAGGGGACGAACGTCTACCTTGGCGTCTGGAGAGGTCCGCGACGGGAGCTGAAAGAGAGCGGTCCGGAGACGACCCGACGAAGAAGTTTCTCAAGACTTCCAGTAGGTGGGAAATTTATTCACAGTCTGGGGCAGAGGGCGGGTCGCGAGGGTCTTAACGCACTCTAAGGCGATTGGCTGAAAAGCGAAGATTGACATCTCCTCTGTCGAATGAGTGATCAAAGACTTAAGTTCAAGGACTACCCAGACTTTTTTTTTTTTTTTTTTTTTTTTCTGCGCCCTTCGGGCGTTAGTGAACTGCGCTGCTACCCGTTAGGTCCGCACCGTTTCTTCCCTTTAATTTTACACTTATCGGTGAAAATTTAGTGATCCAGCGCTGAGGTAACTCTGAGGCATGTTTATAGCAAGTAGTTCCTCAATTTCTGCCGCTTGACGTCCCATACAGGTAAGGACAGTCATAAAAGTTGTATAGCGCAGACTTCAATAGTAAAAAACGTTCCGAGAATGAGAAAAATTCGGATGATTTAATGTGGTTAGAGCTACTTGTAAAAGAATGAGCAAACGGGGGGCGGGAAGTTTAGCGGCGCAGCGCCAGCTTGGCGAGCGCGAGATGCCGAGTTCGATACCGGAACGGAAGAAAAAAAAAAAAAAAAAAAAAAAAACGGCGTTAAAAAAAACGGTAAAATTAGATGAATATGGTCCGAACTGAGTGTCAAAGACCCCTGAAATGTGTTTAATGAATTCCGCCAAATCGCTTTAAGTCTCCAAAGAATGAAAAAAGAGAAATACTTTTTAAAAAAAATCACCCGTTCGTAAGAGCTAAACATCCTAAAGGCAGGCTTTTTAAGATGTTTCCGAACCAAAGGACCAATTCATTTTGCTGATCTCAAGAGCTATTTAATTATTAATTCAAGTGTAATTCTAAGTTACGGAGAAATTAACTTTGGTTTTATACTTATTCTGTAAAAATGTTTTCTGGCATTAAAATTTGTTTTCAAAAACTTTGTAATGTCCATATATTTAGGAAAGATTTATTTAAATTCCATGGAGGCTAACAAAGGTATATTTCCTTTCAGCAACTCAATGACATTTCATTAGTTTTGTTTTTTCTCTCATCCCATCATAAAATCAGAGTGCAGTATTTTCATAAATCATTAATTTAAATCTGGAATCAGTGTAGAAAATCTCATATCTAAAATCCTTTCTGTAATGACTGGAATCCTCATCGAAGGTGTAGAATTGGCATTAATATTTGGTTGTGGTCTGAGAGAATTATTTATTTCTAAACCTTAGTTTTACCATTTTTAAAGCCACAAAATGATTAATTTAGCTAACTTACAAGTTGCACTGAGAAACAAATGAAACAATCGGATGAAAAATCCCTTCATATTGTGGAATGCTATATGGGTATACTATTATATGAATAATAACTTTTTTTAGTTCTGGAATTATTAGAAGTTATCAAATAGTTTCTACAGGCTTCAGAGATTTATACAATTTCGTTCTGGAGGAGTTATTGCCTAGCTATACTAAAATTTTGGCTTAGTCTATACCTTTCGTTCCGTCATATCAGTGAGATAGGTAGATGAGATGAGCTAAGATTACATTTGTTTGTGCTTGCCAGGCAGCAGGCTCTCTTGGCTGCTGAGCTATATTCCCAACCCTACACTTAGAATATTAACCACTCTTTGAAACTATTTTCCTTCACAACGTTGTATTCTAAGTTCATTAATGTTTCTGAGTATGCAGTTTTTCATTTTTATGTTACAAAAAAATCTAACAATATTTTCTTTTTTGTGATTTTCACTTCCTTGTAAGTTTACAAAATCTTTTGTCACCCAGGGAAATTTTGTTTTGTATTTTTTTTCTGGAGGTCTCTGGAATATTTACACTTAACCTTTTAATCCATAGTATGAGATAAAATTTTAGTTAAATTTTATTTTAAACAGGTCACCTGTGACATCATTTGTTGACTAATTCTTATTCTCTATACTAAGGTATAACCGTGTAATCTTCAGCACTATGTTTAAAAGTATAGGACATGCAAGAGAAAAGTCATTCTCCACAAATCTCGAGCTGGGAAAAGCTTTTGGATATTAAATCCAAGTCCATTTTCAAATGGGGAAACAAAGGCCTTTCACTGGCTTGTGAAGGTCCTTCTGCTTCACAGAGGACCCAGGACTAGATCGATTCCCTGATCTTTGATCTGAAGTTGAAATAAATGTGTTTCTTTTATGCAAAACTCTAGAAGGCAATTTGGCAGCAGGAATTAAATTAACCAGTTAGGCAAATGGTCATGAATTCAGGGCCTCTGAAACTCAGATCAACAGTTCTTCTGACTCTAATAAATCAACAATTATTTACTAAAAATTTATATGTATTGCCTTATGCAAGACCTCGCCTGGGACAGGCAAACAGTTGCTGCCATCTATAGCAATAGTTTCACAATCTACTTATGAAAAAAGATTACATATTGAGAATGGAGGAAAAAAAAAGAAGCAGCTCCTGATGTTTAGATCTGGCTGCTAGGCCATCTCAGCCATATCATCTAATTCTCCTATTGGACATAAGCAATCTAAATGAACACTAACACCAGAGAATACTACTCTGAGAAAGAAAACAAAACAACTGCTTTTAATTTCAGTTAAGCACAGATAAAAAAGGGGTCACACAATACTAAACATTTTCCTCTCCTGGCTAAAATGATTATCTATTACTTCCTTATCAATTAGAGTTTTCTCCTTGTTTTACTCCTTTATCAGAGGACTGAAAACAACTTGCTTTCTCTGCATTGGTTAGTTGTACAAGGTGCAAAACCAAGTAGGATCATGTTTATGGTTTGGCTGAGCCTCTAATGTGTTAGGGAGACAAACACCAAGTTTCACGTGTCTGTAAAGTGTTGGTAATTTCTTTAGACACCATTACACTGCAGACTGGCAGAGGGTATAATTATATTCAGATGGAAAGGATAACTTCTCAGGCAAAAAATACCTTAATTTGACAACAATTAGAATGCAGTCAGTGTGTATGAGAGTGCAGAGGATTGTAGCAGTGTTGTAGTGTGTTTGTGGTTAACTCACACTAAACAAATTTTTGTAGGCCAGAAGGTTCACATGTAAGCCCCCAGGTTGCTATTGTTTCCCATGGTGTGATTTCATCTTCTAATATTTTCTTCTCCTACTTTGCCACAGGATATGAATTTCCCTATTTTAGTGTAATTTCATAGAAACTTTCAGAGGCAAGTGCCTAGTAAATTAATATGGCACAACCTACCTGAAAGTTAGTGCCATTAACCAAATGTTACTTTAAGGAAGTGGGACAGGAATTTTAAAAGGAGGCAGGGAGAAGAGAAGTAAACAAAAGATCTGGAACGTGGGTGGCGCCCAGGGAAGTCAGGTCTGTATGGCGAGTAACAGTGGATCATACTGATAATTAGGGACCTGGTGATAATGGTGGCATTGGGGAAGGAGTGAAGAAGCTCTCTTGACTTCATTCATCCCCTGACAAGGAAGAGGAGGGCATTGGGAAGAGTTTAAGGAGCTTGGGGTGCAGATGTTGTCCTGTTTTCATAGGCTTTCCTCAGGTCAACTTGTACCTAGAAGTATTTTGGTACTTTAATACAGAAAAATGCAAAAGATCTTTTCAGGTGCCATCCAACTAAGGACTCATGCTTTAGTGATGATAATATAAGATTATAAATTATGCTATTATGGTATATAGAAGAAGTTATTAATTCAAGTCAGCTGATATTGGATAACTTCTAACAAATTTAGGAAAAAAAGTATTTTCCCTTTCACTCACTTTCTCATGTATAACTACTGCAACACTGATATGAATATGAACCTCTTCAGTACCCATGTAATCACTCCATAGTTTAAGACAGAACACTAGAAATGGAGTTAAAATTCTGTACACTCTTTCCTGATATAGGCATAAGTTTCATAAATTTTGTGTTTTGTTCCCATGCACACTTTTATGTTACCTATATTCGTTGGAAAAATTCTATATAAATGGCTCTGTAGTACCTATATTCTTCTATAACTCACTTTGAGCCTTATACTTTTGTCTACTACTGCCAGCCAGTTTTTTTTTGTACCAGGAATTGAACTCAACACCTCACGCTCACGCTTATCAGGAAGGAGCTGTGCTAGTGAGCTATATCCCTGGCCCATAACACCCAATCTTTGCTCAGAGAAATATGTGGCTGTGGTCCAATGAGTTCTAGTCCTTGCTATTCTGGGAAGTTTACCTGTAATACTTTTAGTGAATTAAGGTTGATGCTACTTTAGGTGGAGGCTAGTGCCTTCCACTGTTGTCTTAAGTCATAGTCCAGTCCTATGCTCAGTTGTGCATATGGCCTCCTCGCAATCCTAGATTATGACATTGAAGTCACACTTTGAAAAGTACTGCTTTACAGCATCTTTTTTCCTTGTTACTTTGGTACTCAGCAATATAATCCAACATATAGGCTTAACAAAATGGGAGAAGATAACATTCCCAGTGGGTAGGATGGTACTGCTTGTTAATAGCTTAAATATACCTCATGGTAAAATTTAAGATAAAAGCAAGACTTTGTTAACATCCCAGTTATAGGCTACCTAATTGTGGTTAAAATTTTTTTAACACAACATAAATACATAAAATCTTGATTTGCGAGCATAATTTGTTCTGGAAATATGCTTGTAATTAAAAGCACTTATATATTAAAGTGAATTTTCCCATAAGAAATAATGGAAACTCAGATGATTCAGTCCACAAAAATATTCATATAAAATGACTGCAATACTGTCATGTAATATTCAATAATAAAACATTAAATATAAAGAAAAATAGACAAATTAACCTATACTTACCTTTGAAAACCTTCATGGCTTGTGCGAGGGAGCTAAGAGACAGGAAGGTTATTATGTAGGATGGCTTTCCACTATCACTAACGGAATCACTGCTATCTGTTGGCTCAGTGGAATATTTTGCTTTTCATGCAACTTTAACAAGGAACCTATCCAATGACATTTTCTTTGGCCTTTTGAGGATTTCACAGAAATGTGACATTGCACTATGGTTGAAAAGATTCATTTGCTCACACTGCTACAGCCTTATTCAGGTGGTGCTTTT